ATTAGGCAGTCCAGCACAATGAGTGTATATATATATATATATAAGTATGTTGATTCCCCTTTCCATCCTCCACCCACATACCCACCAGGCCCAAACCCACTTACAAGGAGTGACGACCACTGTCTGAGATGGCAAAACCCTCACTGACTTCACTGGGACGAGGATTTCGCCCTACGTTTCCACTGGTGGCTGAGGCAGAATAGATAGTAAGCACACCCCATAAAGCATCTATGATGATACATGGGGGGACAGGGCCATGGTCTTATTCTTTTTTCCCCACTTAGAAAAGCAAGCCCACTCCCCGAAACAACTTCATCTTGGTCCAGTTCTGCAGTTGAAACCAGGAGGGGCAATGGGTCACTGCTGGTGCTACCTTCAATTATACCTATTGGCTTGCTAATTTCACACGTTATCATGCCTGTGTATTATGACCACTAAAACTAACACAGAATTGCTAAGCAGTGGTAGAAGTAGCCTCCGTATTCAACGGATGCAATCAGGGCTTAAATTCAGCTGTAGCTGTCCGGAGCAGAGCTCCACCCCCTGGAGGAGTTTTTATAGCACACTGCTGGGGGGTGGGGGTGGGGGGGCGCATGTGGCACTCTGGGAAGTACTCTATAAGAATTTAAGTCCTAGGTGCAATCCTCCTCCTGATGAGGGGGCACTGACCATCCGTAGCAGCACCCTCTGCCCCAGCACCACAATCCTAATCCTAGCCTGATGCAAAGGGGAAGCTCTGGAGGGGGTGGGGGAGAGCAAACCTGCCCCACACTCTCCTAGCAGCAGTGACTCTTGTTCCACGGGGCTGGGCCTTGAGACCTTGTGCATGGGGTTGCAGATCCATTCAAGTTTTGCCTGGTTGCCTCTCCATTATAGTGGAAGGGCAGTTGGACCAAATTGGAGTGGCATTGCAACATAGCCCACAGGTCACAGAGCCATGCAATGCCATGTTGCAATGCACAGGGTGAGTGCAGGGCAGGTTGCTCTGTCTTCCCCCCCACCAAGGCCTGCCCTCTGCACCAGGCTGGGATTAGGGTTGCAGTGTGGGGCCAGAAAACATTGTCATGGATGGTTGGTGCCCCCAGGTCACAACACCAGAGCATGTGAAAATTCATGTCATAAACCTCCTTTTGTCAGTTACATAATATGCTTGAAAAGGCACCTAATGGCTGCCGGAGCAGAGAGGTCAATTCCCTACCCCTTTAGCTCCACCACTGGCAGTTCGTGTGAACTAAGGGTGCTCAAAATACTGGAGGAACTGCTCAGCCCATATGAGGAAGCCCAGAACGAATGGAGATACTCTCCATAACATGTAAACACATACAGCTTTTCTTTTCATTACAGGCAGCACTGTTTGGTAGGGGTCAGTGCTGTGGATCTAAAGGTCCAGCTAAAGATGGCCAGGAAACAAAATCTTCATCCCACTAAAAATACAGTGAGGTTTTTTTTGGCGGGGGGGGGGGGAGGAGGAGGAGGAAATTGGCCTGAATTGGGACAAAAATTCAAAACCTCAAAATTTTTCATGTCACTACAATGTTCCTGCTGCCTGGGCTTGCTGGCTCTCCAGCTGCCCCCTGGCAGGTGGGTGTGACTGCCCAGCTCACGAGCTGCCTGGACTGGCCAGCACCCTGGCTGCCTGGGCTTGCCAAGCACCAGCTGCCTGCCTGGGAGACAGGCAGGCACAGCCTGGCTCTCCACCTGGTAGGCAGGCTGCCAGCTCCCTGCAAACTGGCCAGGCAGTCGGCCATACAGGTAACTGGACATCTTAAGAAGCTCACCAGCCCAGGGAACTTGCAAGCCAGGCATCCTCAGAAGCTGGGCACTCAGGTATCTCAGGTACCTGGGCAGGAAGCCAGACGTGGAGCCGGGCAGCCTGGGAGCCAAGCAACCCATCAGACAGTATGCTGGGGTGCTAGGCAGCCTAGCAGGTAGGCTGCCAGGGAGCCAGGAGGGATGGAAGGAAGCCAGACAAACAGGCTGACCAGCCTGCCTATATTCTGTTAAAAGTGTTGATGGAATAGACATGTCCACATAGAACGTTTAGATTTCATTGAATCAGCATTCATTTCATTGAATAAAATTTCTGGCACAAAAGTTTGACCAGCTGTAATTGCAACCTTGTTGGCCACCAATTGAGGAATCAATATGGTTCCATATGATGGAACATCTGTTTTTTTTCCAGGTTTTTTTTTAAATAGCAAGTTATATTGTTAATAATAATTGCATTAAAAGAATCTTAAGATTGCAAAATCAAGCACTCAAAGTTAGGAAATGCCAGAAATAAGCACTCCTTATTCAGTCTCCTCATTAAGAGCACAGTCTTTAAATACATGACAACATCCTGTGCTGCCTCACTCAGTGCACAGGGTAGTATTGTGAAGGAGGCTGCTGTCCATAGGACCCCGTTTCATTAGTTACAGAAGCTGGAAGTTATGCAACTGAGATAGGGGATTGCAGAAAAAGAAAGGATAGTCTTGTGGTTAAGACAGTTGAATGCTAAATTGAATTCTATCCCTGCCTCAGCCCTGGGCCGTCTCTAGGCACCAGCCTTGCAAGCATGTGCCTGGGATGTCAAATGGGAAAGGACGGCTTCCCAGCAGCCTTAGGGCGACACTGCGGGCGGCGGCATGTGGGCAGCAGCTCCTCCGGCGGTTCCCTCTTTGGTAGCGGCGGCTCCTCCGGCGGTTCCCTCATCGGCATCAGTCTTTTTTTTTTTCCCTTTGCCGCTTGGGGCGGCAAAAAAGGTAGAGGCAGCCCTGCCTCAGCCACAGATTTCCTATGTGATGCTAGGAAAGTCAAACTTTGATCATTAATTGCATGTTCCTTGGTTTTTCTTTGTGCCCAACTGGAGACTTTTCCTCCACTGAGACGCTGACCTTCAAACCCAAGAACTCTGCTACCAATCAGCAGAGGGCAATGGTAGTGTCAGAAGCTGGGCACTGGCATTGGAAGAAGGGGTAACAGGAATAAACAAGAAGAGTATAAACATCACAATCTGACCTCAAATTCTAGATCAATAAATCCCACAATACCAAAACCTGCCACTCTTACTTACCAAATTGAGTAATATACAAGTCCATTAGAATCGATGGACTGGAATGGCTCCTCCTGGAGTCAAAGTGCTAAGAAGAGTGACAGTCTCTGGCCCACACTATTTAATTTTTTTAACTAACAAAATTCCGTTCTTTCTTCTTGGCTATTTCAATATATAAATATTATCCACCAACTAATATTTTAATGCCTTTAATCAAAAGTGCCAGTTTTTCAAGGAGGCTTAAAACAGGAACAGAGATAAGAAACACTGATACAGACACAAACATTGAATATTGAAGATGTTTTGTTACAAATACATTCAAACTTTGGAAAAACAATCAATTCTAGACTGTCCCTAGTACAATGTAAAAATGCAATATTTAAACAAAGCCGTTTACCACTTAACTGTACAAATTACTTCAAAGACAAGAGCAATACCCTTTTTGGGTCCTATTCGTTATAAGCTTGGAATAACCATTTTGTGGTCGTGATAGCTTAATCTTCATAGCAGTTCAACCTTGGTATAACTCCATGGATTGGATTTCACACCATATATTTAATTTTATTTCAAAGCATAATACAAAGGGATTGTTCTGTCCTGGGATACACTTGAATATGGTGCTCATTGATTTTAATGATTGCTTGCTGCATCCAAAGACATTTAGCCCATCACTGATGACAATGCAACCACACTTAATGTCTGTTTGGTAGGAGAAAATTCGTGTGTGTAAGTACATGCAATGCCTAGCTACTGAAAATCATACTCCTAGAGTCAAATGGTGCCCCCAGATGCTCCCACTGAAATTAATAGGATTTGCATATTGATAACTGAGGGCAGAATGTAGGCCATATTTTAACCTATTTCTTAAATACAAAAATGCTACATTAATATAACATGATTGCACATGCAAGCCTTATAAAGTCAAAAATGTGAAAGCTAAGGTTTAATATGAAACCGCTGTATCCCATTGTGATGCAGTCTTAAATTATGTAATCACATCCTATTTCTCTAATACTAGAACACTAGAATACAGTCTTTTTCTATGAACTTAAATTCACAAGTATGTATTTTATCTTGGACAATCACAAATATAGAGGTTTTACAATAACTCCTCACTTAAAGTCGTCCCGGCTAACGTTGTTTCATTGTTACGTTGCTGATCAATTAGGGAACATGCTCGTTTAAAGTTGTGCAATGCTCCCTTCAAATGTTTGGCAGACGCCTGCTTTGTCCACTGCTTGCAGGAAGAGCAGCCCATTGCAGCTAGCTGGTGGGAGCTTGGAACCAAGGTGGACTAGCAGCCCCCCTATCAGCTCCCCACTCCCCTAAGTTTCCGGTGCTGCAGCCGCCCATCAGGCTATCAATTGACAGTTCAGCTGTCCCTCCCCCCCACTGCCATGTGCTGCTCCTACCCTCTGCCTTGGAGCTGCTCCCAGAGACTCCTGCTTGCTGGGGGGCGGGGGCTAATGTCAGGGTTTCCCCCTCCCCCCTGCTCCTGCACCTCGCTTACCCCTTCTCCAAATAGAGCAGGATGGGCACACGGACGGAGAGAGACAGAGAGAGCTTGGGACAGGAGATGCTGCCTTAACTTCCTGATCCACTTAAAAAGACAATGCACTTAAGAGTGGGTCAGCTTACTTAAAGGGGCAGTGTGCATCTCTCTCTCTCTCTCTCCCACACACAAGGTGTGTGTCTGTCTCTGTCTGCTATGCTGTCTCCCCTCCCTCCTGTTCATGCTGCCTTGATGAGAGGCTACATTAACAACGTGTTAACCCTTGAGGGCTCAGCCGAGTGCCAGTTCATCATTTAGCAGCAAGGCATTCCCTGGGATATATCCCTCCTTCCACCCTCTAACTTCACCACCTCAACCAAGCTTCACAATCATCATAGCTGTGAACAGTATTAAATTGTTTGTTTAAAACATATACTGTGTGTATATCTATATAATATATAGTTTTTTGTCTGGTGAAAAAAATTTCCCTGGAACCTAACCCCTCCTATATACATTAATTCGTATGGGGAAACTGGATTCGCTTAACATTGTTTCGCTTAAAGTCGCATTTTTCAGGAACATAACTACAACGTTAAGCGAGGCGTTACTGTATGTATGTGCAAAATGGCAGAGGCAATGATGCACAGTCAATCTTAGCTTTCACATGTCCTGATCCGAGTGCTTAATTGTGCAGCCTTCATGTTGAATTGACCATTTTTTGCATTTATTTCCTAGGGTTTCTTAAAAAGAAAAAAACAGTGTTATAACTAGCAGGCACCAATTAACCAAGGCCAACTAGAGCCTATCAATGTCATTAGCAGCCTGCACATGTGCAGATTTAACAAGCACCAGACTGCCAGTGAGGAACTACTGTCTCTTATTATTGTCAATTGCATTCCTCACCTCTGCATGCACAGGAGATAATCTTATCACTTCAAGAAAATCTTAAAGTAGCATAAGCATGGCCAACCTTCTGGCCAGTACTTCAAGATCCTAGCTCTGCTCCCAAGTTGTGTAGTTTGGAATCTTATTTGCAGAATAAACAAATCTAAAGTTTTAGAACTTCTTAAACTATTTACAGTAATCTCATCTAAGGCCACAAGCCTTGTTAAGCCTTCTATTGTCATTTTCAACTGCACAAATCATTTCAAGGAATAGAATTTGAGGGAGCACCTGGAGGGCTGGCCAGTGGTGGGAGTGTGCAGGTTAAGAGGCAGAAGTCAGGAAAATGTATTCTTACATGCTTTCATAGTTCAATAAAATTAAAGCAAAATCTTTTCAATGGTTTTCTGAAGAATTCACTTCGGGCAGAGAACCAAGTCCCGAAAACGTCAGCCCAAAAGAGAATGTTTCAGAAACCTAAAACCAGGAACTAACAATGGAAAGTGTTCTGTGATCTCAGCTATAGCTGTCATTACCTGCTAGACTGATATAACAATTAAAGAAGCATTAAAGACATTACATTTAAAGAAAGAAACATTTTGCTTAATACTAGGAAATTCTTCCTTATAGCTTGATCTATTAGGCTTTGGAATAGTCAGTCTTCCATAAGATGATTTCAAAAATCCATTGCTTGAAATATTTAGATTTAGATGGCAGGAAAGAAACCTGCATTGGCAAGCAAAGGGAGTGAATGATCTTTTCCATCTGTAACTTTTTGCAACTCTAAATTATTTTTTGTAAGTACCTCTTCATCAGATCATGGAGATAGATTTTAGACATGTCACATATTTGCATACAGGAAAAATAGAAGAAAAAGGGTCACCATTCTAAGAACTTCTCTGGATATTTGTTGGTGTAGACCATCATCAATTTTGAAAACATCAGCGAAGGAGGTTTTCCAATTGCCAATTAAAATTAAAATAGCTAAGTGTACTTAAACAAGTTAGAGAGAAATACAAAAGATTTGACACACACAGGCTGAAAACTACAGAGTTGGTCAAAATTTTCAGAGATTCAATTTTTGATGAAATCTTTATGTTGCACTGAAAATTTCAATTAAAAATCCCACAAAAATATTTGGACAAAATTTTCACAACTTCCCCCCTCCCCTGAATTTTTCAACCAATTCTGATTAAACAGAAAGCTTTGTTGAAAACTAAGATGACGAGAAATCCAAAGAGTCTAACTTGTTAGTGGTGAATTCACAAATAAAGTACCAAAAAAAAATTCTGAAACAAAAAATGCAATACAGTGCTCTGTTCCAACTGTATGGGTCAGACTCATGACCATGTTGCAGTGCAAAGGGGATAGTGGATCCAGTAAGTGAAGGCTCTGGGTGCAGGCTTGGGCAAAAAAGGAGGCATGGCTGAAACTTCCCTCCATCCATAACCATCAGCCCAGGTCCCAGAGACTGCTGGGAGCCTTGAGGCTTCAGGTTGTGCTCAGGACCAGGCTGACATATGCTGGTCCACAGGATCAGGGAGTTTTCAAGCACAGAGAATCTGAGCCAAAATATTAATAACAAAAATAGTCAACATTGGCGTATGTTGCAAATCAGACCGAATACTGACTGAAAATAAGTGAAATCAATTTCTATCAGTCTTCACGATTGACTTCTTCATGTGAAAGAGACAGTGAATTTGAAAGTATCCAGCCCTTGAACCAGAGGGATGAGAAGACACATAAATATGACACACACATTGTTCATTGCAAGGCCTACAAAGAAAAACAGATTTTTTTGTAACGTGCAACAGTAACCTAAATTCTACCATTTCTAATTTTTCCAACTGGTCAGATGTGCGACATTAGTCAAAATATGCAATAAACCAGGCTTTAAAAAAAAATCTACTACAGCTATGAAAACAAAGGTAAGACTGGCAACATTATTTTTAGAAACTTAGGCCATACTTTTCAAAGCTGGGTGCCTAACGTTAGACTCCTAAATAAAAGTGGTGAGAAGAACCACTGGAAGAATCTGGAAGAACTGATCACCCACAAATCCTATCAAAGAGATACAGGTATTCAGCACTCTTGAAAATCAGACCGCTTTTAGTTACATGCCTAAATAGAGACCTATAGGAACCTAAGCAGTTGGGCATCTTTTGTTAGGATTTTGTGTGTGTGTGTGTGTGTGTGTGTGTGTGAATTCATCATTGTATAATCTGAGGAGGTGTCACAATGTTGTAGTAGGAGAGACAAAAAAAATTTTTACAAATATTTTTCAGTTTTTCCATAGGACATGAAAGTTCTGACCAAAACTGAATTTAAAAAGGCACTTTTGTCTATTTCTTAGACACCTTGTTGGAAAATGTACAGTTCTCCATGAACACCATGTTAAGGATGAACTTAAATGTAACATTTTCTCATCAATAAGGCAGACAAGAGACTCAACACAACAAGTCAACACACAAAGTTATGAAAAAAAGTGGCTTCTCTTGAGATAAGCTTGGCACAGCTTTTGCATCTAGAAGTACCTCTTTATCTCACCTGATCAATTGACTGCCTACAGACAATCAGTTTCCTTGTTCAAGTAATGTGCAGAGTGCATACACACATACATACCACCAAATGAAGAATTCAGATAACTGGTTAAAGTCTACTGCAGTGTCTGGTGAGCAGTTTTTTCTTTTAAATACTTCAGACTCTTTGAAAGAATTTTCAGTAAATGATCAACAAACTTCATGATGTGCATGTCCATGTTTTCCTACCATCTTCTATAATCTGAAGGGGGACGGAGACTTTGTTCAAACTGAAACATTCTTCTTATAGCGTCATGTTAGAGCCCATGAAGTTTATCCCTCTGAATCACATTTGGCACATGGAAAGCTGCATCATAACAACATAATTGTTATGACTGATGCAAGCACCAGAATGCTAATTGTCGTCCTGCTGCCATCTGATTTCCTCTGAGCATGCATTACTGAAAACACTGCATTTGTTTGATTGGTTGGTATTTCTACATTGCAGATCATCCCTTCACAGCAAGAAATGCATTCCTGTTAACAAAAAGGAGATTGGTAGGCAGGAGTGACTGCAACAGAAGTTTATAGAGTATATGCTTTCAATTGCAAGGTTTATTACTAGGGCTGTCAAGCAATTAAAAAAATTAATTGCAATTAATCGTGATTAATCATGCTGTTAAATAACAATAGAATACAATTTATTTAAACATTTTTGGATGTTTTCTACATTTTCAAATATATTGATTTCATTTACAAACAGAATACAAAGTGTACAGTGCTCAGTTTATATTTATTTTTGTTTACAAATATTTTCACCGTAAAAAACAAAATAAATAGTATTTTTCAATTCCCCCATTGCAAGTACTGTAGTGCAATCTCGTTATCATGAAAGTTGAATTTACAAACATAGAATTATGTAAAAAAACACCTACATTCAAAAATAAAAGAATGTAAAACTTTACAACCTACAACTCCACTCAGTCCTACTTCTTATTCAGACAATCACTCAGACAAACAAGTTTGTTTATATTTGCAGGAGATAATACTGCCTGCTTCTTGTTTACAATGTTACCTGAAAGTGAGAACAGGCATTCACATGGCACTGTTGTAGCCAGTGTCACAAGTTACTTACATGTCAAATGCCCTAAAGATTGATATGTTCCTTCATGCTTCAACCACCATTCCATAGGACATTCATCCACGCTGATGATGGGTTCGGCTCGATAATGATCCAAAGCAGTACAGACTGATGCATGTTCATTTTCATCATTTGAGTCAGATGCCACCAGCAGAAGGTTCATTTTCTTTTTTGGTGGTTTGGATTCTGTAGTTTCCGCATCGGAGTGTTGCTCTTTTAAGACTTCTGAAAGCATGCTCCACATCTAGTCCCTAGCAGATTTTGGAAGGCACTTGAGATTCTTAAACCTTGGGTCGAGTGCTGTAGCTATCTTTAGAAATCTCACATTGGTACCTTCTTTGCGTTTTGTCAAATCTGCGGTTGTTCTTAAAACAAACAACATGTTCTGGGTCATCATCCGAGACTGCTATAACATGAAATATATGGCAGAATTCGGGTAAAATTCCCCTAAAGAGTTCAGTCACAAATGTAATTAACACATTTTTTTAACGAACGGAGCAGGAGACATACAATTCTCCCCTAAAGAGTTCAGTCACAAATGTAATTAACACATTTTTTTAACGAGCATCATCAGCATTGATGCATGTCCTCTGGAATGGTGGACAAAGCATAAAGGGGCATACGAATGTTTAGCATATCTGGCATGTAAATACCTTGCAATGCCAGATACAAAAGTGCCATGCGAACGCCTGTTCTCACTTTCAGGTGACATTGTAAATAATAAGCAGGGGCATTATGTCCCGTAAATGTAAATAAGCTTGTTTGTCTTCGCAATTGGCTAAACAAGAAGTAGGACTGAGTGGACTTGTAGGCTGTAAAGTTTTACACTATTTTGTTTTTGTGTGCAGTTATGTAACAAAAAGAAATCTACATTTGACAGTTGCACTTTCACGATAAAGAAATTGCACTACAGTACTCATATGAGGTGAACTGAAAAATACTTTCGTTTTTCATTTTAGAGTGCAAATATTAGTAATCAAAAATAATAATATAAAGTGAGCACTGTAAACTTTGTATTCTGTGTTGTAATTGAAATCAATATATTTGAAAATGTAGAAAAACATCCAAAAATATTTAATAAATTTCACTTGGTATTCTATTGCTTACAGTGTTATTAAAACTGATTAACCATAATTACTTTTTTTATTCATGATTAATTTTTTTGAGATAATTGCGTGAGTTAACTGCGATTAATCAACAGCCCTAGTTATTACTAAAAAATAAGCTAATCACCATTGCTGGGCAGGAAACCGTTTTCCTGTCCCACAAGAGTTTAAGGTTTTGCAATTTTTTTTTCCCACCCTGAATCTTGACAAAAAGTCAAAGTCTCAAAAAAATTTGTGAACCTAAAATCCAATCAAAATGTTCCATTTAGATTTTGACCTTTTTAAAAATAAAACAATAAATTAACTAGTATTTTGAAATGAAAAGTCCTTTCAACCATTTCCCCCCCAAAAAATTAGGAAATCAGATTTGTTGAAACAGACCCTTTCCCACAAATAGTTTGTTTTCACAAAATCAATGTTTAGCCAAAAACAAACAAAACAAAAACATTTTACCAGGAAATTCCCAACCAGCAATATTAATTACTTCCATCTGGTAGCCTGTGATCTGAATTGGCCTATCAGTTACGGCTGCAAAATCATGCACGGCAGTGTTCTCACAGCTCATTATCATGCATTGTAATTAATGGACTCCTGTTACCATGATCTGATGATAGTTAATGGTTAGCTATGTCTGACAGATTTCTCAACATATAAGAAAGTAGGGAAAGCATCCCATAATTATCACCTTCCTATGTATTAAGCACAAACATGCTTTTGAATGTTTTCTTGTCACACATTTTTTAATGAAAATAGACTATGATCATGTTTAATTTCCCTTATAAGCTTTTATACAGCATAATCTCGTATTTTGCTCTTTACATTTGCGTCTTCTGTCAAATTTCCAGTGCTAGAGAACAACTGTTAATGTTCATCATCTTCTTCACTAGTAGTTTATTTGGGGAAACATTGAAACTGATGTTCCTTACCTGAGCAGTTGCAGAGTATACCCATTTCCACACTGCAGTTTGCATTGTATGCAAAGGAACAATAGTATATTTTACAAGATAAAATGCAGCATAAGACAGGCTGGAGCTCCTAAAGGCCATATATTTCCTTCAATCCATCAACACTCATTGACATCAACAGGAGTCTGTGCTCAGATCAAATGCAACATATATATGTTCTTTCATATTTAACATACAGATTGTCTGCTATCTTCAATATATCTGAAATCTTACACACTAAGATCATTCAAATCCTGCTAAAAGATTTTACTAAGACACTGATTTCTAAAATATCCTTCCAGTTCTGTATTATATAGGATATAAAACATCCTAACCATTTTACCTAGTGTGACAAAGTTCCTCTGCCTTGGTGGGTCCTGCGCTTTCTGGCGGATTTGCTCGCCTCAGAGATTCACAGCAGCCTTCAGTTTGGCCACTTTTGCTAGAGAGACTCAAACCTGCCATTCACTCAGCTAACCTCATCGCTGGCCAGCATGGGGGAAATGGAGAACAATCTCTGCAGTCTCTGTTGTCCCACCTAGTGGGTCGGGGACAGGTCAGATCCCTTTCCAAATTAGACCCTCCCCTCTAGTGTGTCTCACAGACCAGGTCAACTCCTCCTGTGTCAGATAGGGAGTTGGAGGGATAGGAGGAACCCGGGCCCACACTCTACACCGGGTTCCAGTCCAGGGCCCTGTGGATAACAACTGTCTACAATGTCTCCTGTATTAGCTGCGTGACAGCTACAACTCCCTGGGCTACTTCCCCATGGCCTCCCCCAGCACCTTCTTTATCCTCACCACAGGACCTTCCTCCTGAAGCCTGATAATGCTTGTACTCCTCAGTCCTCCAGCAGCATGCCTTCTCACTTCCTGCTCCTTGCACGCCCCCCACTAACTGATGTGAGGTCCTTTTTAAATCAGGTGTCCTGATTAGCCTGCCTGCCATAATTGATTCTAGTAAGTTCTTAATTGGCTCCAGGTGTTTTAATTAGCTTGCTTGTCTTAATTGGTTCTAGCAGGTTCCTGATTGCTCTAGGGCAGCCCCTGCTCTGGTCACTCAGGGAACAGAAAACTATTCATCCAGTGGCCAGTATATTTGCATTCTACCAGACTCCTTCACCCAACTGGTCTGGGTCTGTCACACTAGAAAGTTTGCTACACTTCCTTTTCAAAAGCAAGAGTTATAGCAGTGGTTGTTTATGTCAGTCAGTATGTATAACACACTAGTACACAACTCTTCAACATTTTACTGTACTCTATATATTTTTATATAAAGATATTCATTTTTACAGTGAATTGGACTAGAAATCAATGGTTTATACCACCTATATAAAGTAATCATCTATAATTTTAGCAATTTTTAATTTACCAGATGCTAAAATTAGGTCATAACTGAAATGGGACAAAAGCAATGTGGTAAAAAGAATGACATGGTGTTAAAGTCTGGTATCTTGTTAATCAGACATATCAACAAACGTTGAGGTAATTTTTTTTCCACTTACAAATGGTTGTGACCAAAATCATCTCTCTATTCACACCCCACACATTATTGTATTAATTTATGTGCAAAATATACCTTGTGAGGTATCATTTAAAAACTAATAAACAGATCAATATTCTTGTGCAAAACATGAATATTAACAGTTATGAACATAAGCTGAAATTATGACTACAGTGTGTATACCAGACAAGTCAGTGGAGAGGGTAAACTGGTTTCTCAAAGACAAATGACAAGCTGATGCCTTTAGCCAGATGCCAAAGTTGATTGGCAATTACTGGTCAAGTGGCCATTCTTTGGCAGTGAAGGGGGGGCAGGAACAGATTGATCTGCAATTTAGCAAACAACAACATGGAACCTCTTTCACCACAAGAGTCCATGTCTCCGTTCTCATGGCTGGAATGAACTTTATCTAGGGGGAACCCTCAGGAAAACGTATTTCAAAGGGTGACTGGACTATAAAAGTGAGGGGCAAAAACACCCCAAATTCTCTCTCTCTTTCTCCTAAGATGACAAAAGAACCAGCCCCTTGACTTTGGAGGGAAATCCTGACCTGAGAATTTGGTTAG